GGAAGCTGGGGGGGGGGGCAGGAGAGGGCAATATGACCGATGACAGTTGGAACGCTGCTAGATAAGGGTCCCTGAGCCCAGCAAAGCCTGTGACTCCCCCTGAGGCACCCCACCCAACCTGCCTCCTCCCCTTCATCTCTCCCCTCCGTCAGGTCAGTGCAGCCCAGCCCCTGCTGCACCCAGCCCCCACACCTCTGCAGGAACTCTGCCAGCCCCCCCAGGCAGCAGTGGGCCATCCGCTCCCCAAACTCCTGGCTGATGCGGGGCGCTCGCTCTGTGTGCTCCTCCAGCAGCTGCAAGGTGCGGGGGGATGACAAGGGGTGAGGAGGGGGCAGGCCCCACTTTCCCACCCGGCACCGTCCAGCTGATTCTCCTTCCTCTTCCCCGCACCCTACCTCACACACGTCCTGGGCCAGGCTGCTGGGCAGGTCCTCGGGGCTCCCCCAGTGCTCCTCGTCTTCCTGCAGGGCTCGCAGCAGGGCTGCCCGGGTCTGAGCCTGCGGGGAGGGGAGGCGGGGCAGAGGCAGGAGTCAGGGGCTCCTGCGAGCCGCTCCCTTGCTTCCTCCTGCACCATCCCCGCACCTTCGCCCCAAGCAGGTCTGGATTCTACCAGTGAGCGCCTCCAAGTTACGCTGGGGAGCAAGGCTGGGCCAGAAAACCTCCCAGCCCTTTCCATTGCTCAGTCTACGATTTGGAGCCTGATACTGAGTCTGGTTTTAGTCCTGGCTGGTTTGCTCAGTAGTTAGAGCATCAGCCCGTGGACTGAAGGGTCCCTGGTTCAATTTCGGCCAAGGGAATGTACCTCGATTGCAGGCTCAGGCCCTGGTCAGGGTGTGTGCAGGAGGCAACCAATTGATGTCTCTCTCTCACATCGATGTTTCTCTCCCTTCCACTCTCTCTGAAAAGCAATGGAAAAAATATCCTCGATTGAGGATTAAAAATAGGAAGAATTAACAACAAAAAAAGAGTCTGGTTTTAAGCTTCCTCCATCTACTACCCAGAGGGTTTAAGGGCCAACTCTCCTTATTTCATGGCCCTAAGACTGTTCTCAGATTCGACAAAAAACAACAAATTCATTCAAAATTGTCAGATTCTGGAATTTTAAAATTCCCAGCATCTGGGATTCTAGGTTAACCCATCTCTGATTCTCTGGTCCAGAGTTGCCTTCAGCTCAGTGACCCTGAGAATCTAGACATATTCAAGTCCTAAGATTCTCTGCTCTCAAGTTGCAAAGACTCTGATTTTCGTGGCTGAGCAGGACCGGCATTCAGGTAGGAAACCCCTGTGGCCAAGCCAGCTGTTTATGGCTGGGCCACTGTCCTCTGTGGGGTCCATCCCAGCCAGTCGTTAACCAGGTTTACTGTCAACCCTGCTTATGCACAGAGACGCCCTGATGCCTCCCATGAGTCTGGCTCCGTGAGGCGAGGTTCCATGTCTGACTTTCTCTTGCTCTAAGATTTGAATGTCTGAATGTATTGAACCTTCTCTGAGTGTCTCTGTGCCCAGCCTGGTGCTTACAATACAGCTCTGAACCTAAGACAGAAGGAATCAGTATGGATTTACATTTCTATGTCTTTTGGACAGAACTCAGAAGCCACAGAGGGACAAGAAAAATGGAAATATTGAAAGCGGAAGGGGAGAGGCCCCAAGCCCAGTGTGACCCCCTCCCTCCTGAATCACCAATGCCAAGTCTCAGGTACCTTAACATCTGTGACACATTCATCCTCCAAGCCCCGAACGGTGCCAGGCGACAGAAGGGACCCTAGCTCCCCGTTCTCCAGGGCGACCATGTCCACCAGCCCCAAGACTTCTCTGAGGGTGGGGGTAAGAGACAGGGAAGTCTGTGAGAAGTGGGGCAGAGCAACTGACCCCTCCCCATCCCCATCCCTATCCCTTCACACCCAGCGTGTGACCCTGGGCCACTCCCTTCCTCTCTTGGGCCAGCTTTGCTCATCCCTCAGAGGAAGTCTCTGCAATGTGGCTCCCCTGGCCCCAGCTCTCTGAGTCAGCTCCCTGATGGATGACGTCCGGACAAGACTTATAGGAGTCAAGTCCAAGCTTGACTACCTGGCACACAAGGTCTCACCCATGATCAGCTTGACCAGACAGAAGCTCCCTTCCACCCCCGCTCCTCCCTCGCCTGGCCTTGGAGGCCTCTCCAGTCCAGCCCTCACTCTTTGTTTCAACACCCCTGTGCGCCCTGCGCTGTGCAATCCCCCACTCTCCCCACTGCTCCCCACCACCCCACGCGCACACTAGGCTTTTGCTGGTGGCATCTTGTCAGCCAGAAGCACCGTCTCCCTACAGATCGGACTTAACTCATGTCCCACTGTTCCAGGAACTTTTCCAGACCCCCTCTCCTGCCTCCATCTCCATGGACCGTGTGAGAGTGTCATTAACACATATTCCCAAAGGGGACCTAGGGGGTGGGTGTTAGTAGCTGTCGCCTTCCCGTTTTTCTAGTGGCAGCATCCTGATTTTGTCTGAGGAACCACCCACTCTCTTCACTCTCCAGTGTGTGGCTTAGGTGTGGCCAACTCCCTTTTCCCTGGCCTGGGGAGGTGACCCAGCCATGGCTAATCACCATTTTCCACCCCCCAGCCACAATAATGGGTATTCAAAGGCTTGATAGTTATAAGATTCTAGGACTGGGAGGGTCAATGGTGCCAGGTTCTAGACGCTAAAATTTCAGAACTCACAGGGCCAACAGTGCCACCGTCCTCAGACTGATGGATTGACAGTGTTATCCAAAGAAGGGGTGAGGCTAAGGCTTAGGGTTCGAAGGCTCATTGGTACTAAGATTCTAGTTTTGAAGCCTCATCGACTCTAAAGTTCTAGGACTGGAAGAGTCAACAGTGCTCATGCCCTAGGAGCTAAAGAGGGAGCAGTGTCAGGGTTCTAGAACTCCAAGGGTCAACAGTGCCAAGACTTTAAGACAGGAAGGGTCAGTGGTGCTTTGGTTCTAGGCCTGGAAGGGTCAGTGGCGCTTTGGCTCTAGGCCTGGAAGGGTCAGTGGCGCTTTGGCTCTAGGCCTGGAAGGGTCAGTGGTGCTTTGGCTCTAGGCCTGGAAGGGTCAGTGATGCTTTGGCTCTAGGCCAGGAAGGGTCAGTGGTGCTTTGGTTCTAGGCCTGGAAGGGTCAGTGGCGCTTTGGTTCTAGGCCTGGAAGGGTCAGTGGCGCTTTGGCTCTAGGCCTGGAAGGGTCAGTGGCGCTTTGGCTCTAGGCCTGGAAGGGTCAGTGGCGCTTTGGCTCTAGGCCTGGAAGGGTCAGTGGTGCTTTGGCTCTAGGCCTGGAAGGGTCAGTGGTGCTTTGGTTCTAGGCCTGGAAGGGTCAGTGGCGCTTTGGTTCTAGGCCTGGAAGGGTCAGTGGCGCTTTGGCTCTAGGCCTGGAAGGGTCAGTGGCGCTTTGGCTCTAGGCCTGGAAGGGTCAGTGGCGCTTTGGCTCTAGGCCTGGAAGGGTCAGTGGTGCTTTGGTTCTAGGCCTGGAAGGGTCAGTGGTGCTTTGGCTCTAGGCCTGGAAGGGTCAGTGGCGCTTTGGCTCTAGGCCTGGAAGGGTCAGTGGCGCTTTGGCTCTAGGCCTGGAAGGGTCAGTGGTGCTTTGGTTCTAGGCCTGGAAGGGTCAGTGGTGCTTTGGCTCTAGGCCTGGAAGGGTCAGTGGCGCTTTGGCTCTAGGCCTGGAAGGGTCAGTGGCGCTTTGGCTCTAGGCCTGGAAGGGTCAGTGGTGCTTTGGCTCTAGGCCTGGAAGGGTCAGTGGTGCTTTGGCTCTAGGCCTGGAAGGGTCAGTGGTGCTTTGGCTCTAGGCCTGGAAGGGTCAGTGGCGCTTTGGTTCTAGGCCTGGAAGGGTCAGTGGCGCTTTGGTTCTAGGCCTGGAAGGGTCAGTGGCGCTTTGGTTCTAGGCCTGGAAGGGTACACAGCGCGGAGGTTCTAGAACTGGGGGATCCCTGTTCTAACGTTCTAGCACTGGGAGAGAAGACAGCGCTACGACTCTGGGATTGTAAATGTCACCAGTGAGGAAGATCAGAAGCGTCACCGGGGTTAAGGCTGTAGAGCTGAAGGGTGGGCTGTTCTGAGACTCCCAGGAGCTGAACAGGCCAGACCGGGCGGGGTTGGGGGCGGTTCTACACGCTCTGGGAGCACTGTCTCTGGTCCCGGGCGGTGCTGTCTGCGGCGGCGCGCTCACCTGGGGTACACCTGGTGGTGCCAATGCAGCAGCGCGTAGCGGTCGGCG